GTAGGCACCTTAGAAAGTAAATGAGGGTACCTTACCTCAGCTAACAAATATAACTTAAACTAACTCAGTAAACAATATAAAAGACCATAACGTAAAAAAGAGAAAAACAGAAAAATTTCATAGCCTTAGTTATTAAAAACAATGCCTTTAAAAGAAAATATACTCAATAAATATTTATTGAACAAACTGATAGGGAAAATCTGACAATTTTACATAGTTTTACTGATTTGAGTCAGATGTTTCTGAATTTCCTTAGTCAATTCTTCTAGCTCAATCTGTCACCAAAGGTAAGTTATTTATTGCGGCTCTTCTTTATATCCAATAAACAATTTAAACCCAAATTTTCAAAGATATGGATGTTTTTGATGAATGATAACTCTACACATGTTCCATGAACCTAGAGAGGTATTTTCATAGAGTGTTTTCCCTCTAACCCTACCTACACCTGTGCTGTCACAGCCCTTGTTGCTTCCTGTCTGTGATTACAATTCCCCGCCTTGGTCCCTACAGCAGGTGGATGCATGAAGCAGAGTCCTGGGTTTTGGTACGCCTCCTTCTAACACGCCTCTCACTGTGGGCTCACTCAGGGCACAGAAATACACTGCTGAGTCCTCCAGCTGTGAAGCTGAGATGACAAGGTTGGCAGAACTCTTTGCTTTCTGAAAATTCAGTGAGTAGCGGCCTCCTGTGGCATTTTGCTGGTTGTAAGAGTCCTGACGAATGAGGAAAATCATCGCCCCACTGCTGAGCTGCTTGTACCAGAATAGACTATAACTTGTATCACTGGTGTCATATGTGCAATCCAGGCTCACAGCCTCGTTCTCCTGCACCAGTATTGCTTGTTGGCCTTGAGTTACCTTCTGGGCAATACTGAACCCTGAAAGAAGAAAATACAAACAGAAGCTTATGGGATAAGTGATGTGGGACAGAAAAAAAATATATTTATATATATATATATGTCTCCTTTTTCACCAATTAACCCTCACACTCCACCCCCCACCAGCCATTCCCATCCCTGGCAAGCCCCCACCGCCCCAGTGTCTGTGTCCATTGGTTATGCTAATATGCATGCATACAAGTCCTTTCTAACTGCCCCCCACACACACACACACATACACACACCTCCCCTACCATTTGTCTCAAGATCTATTTTTGATCATCAAATTTTGTTGATCATTATATCCCACATACGAGTGAGATCAGGTGATATTTATCTTTCTCTGACTGGCTTATTTCACTTAGCATAATGCTCTCCAGTTCCATTCATGCTGTTGCAAATGGTAAAAGTGTGTTCTTTTATATAGTGGAGTAGTCTTCTATTGTGTAGATGTACCACACAGAAAGAATTATTTTTAATCTCAGCCAGCTTTCCTTCCCAGGGGACTCATAAAAGACTGACTGCCCCCCCCCGCCCCCATTTGTTATGTCACAGAAGACCCATTCCCACTGGGGCATCCTTACCTAGCCACATGGAAGTTATGACCACCCTCAGAAGACCGGACACCGACATGTTCAAGTTCTCCCACTTGGTGGAAGAGATCTTCTTTTTCTTCTTCAGTGTTAGGGCTCTGCAAGGTGAGGTGCTGACAGACGGAGAGAAGAAATGCTGAGCTGTGTGCTGCTGCTGCCCCAGAACAGGAAACAGGGTTTCTGGTGCAGACGTTGCTGTGGGTCACGTCGAACTTTCTATGCACTGGCTGAGAGTCTCACCCAACCCACACTGCCTTTTGCATTAACCAACTCTTTTTTAATTTTATTTTTCAATTACCCTTTATGTCCAATATTATTTTGTTTTTATTTCAGGTGTATAGTAGTGGTTAGACAATCATATACTTTACAAAGTGTTCTCTCTGATATTTTCAGTACCAACCTGATACCATACATAGTTATTACAATATTTTTTACTATATTCTTTATGCTGTACTTTACATCCTAATGACTATTTTATAACTATCAATTTGTACTTCTTTTTAATATATTTTATTGATTTTTTACAGAGAGGAAGGGAGAGGGAGAGAGATACAGAGTAGAAACATGGATGAGAGAGAAACATTGATTCAGCTGCCTCTTGCATGCCCCCTACTGGGGATGTGCCCGCAACCGGGGTACATGCCCTTGACCAGAATCAAACCTGGCACCCTTCAGTCCTCAGGCCTACTCTCTATCCGCTGAGCAAAACCGGTTAGGGACAATTTGTACTTCTTAATCCATTCTTTTTTTTTTCACCTGGGTCTGCAACCACCCTCCTCTCTGGCACATTCCTAGGTTGCAGGTTTGATCCAAGTTGGGGCCCCTACGAAGGTAACTGGTTGATGTTTCTCTCTATCTATCTATCTCTCCATCTCTCTCAAATCAATAAAATCATATCCTGGGGTGAGGATTTAAAATTTTTTTAAATATTGAAATCAAAATAGTTAAATGGGAATTTTCTACCATCTTCCTACCCCCTTCTACCCTCCAAAACAAACAAACAATTTTCACAATTATACACTAAGTAGAGTGCCTGTGGAGAAGTTCAGGAATCTAGCACAGAAGTTATACTGTGTGAGAACATTCTGAGAACAAAAATATCTGAGATTGGTAGCATATTAAAGGGTAGGAGGAACGATTTCATTTTTCGCTGGTCACGCCTTCCCCTGTGTAGCATGGTGCAGTGCCAATAGAAATCTTCTGGGCATTTGATTTTTCCCACAGGGGAAAGTGAGATTATGTGAGTGAGCCCTGCTCTCCCAACTTTAGGGGAAGCTGCCAAAGAGACTCGCCTCATTCTTGCCCCATCCATATACTGAGGTGAGCTGCCCAGCTGGGAAGTGGGAAGCACCTGGAACAGCATCCAGGGCTCTCAGTGGGCATTAAAGGGACACAGATCCCATTAACTGCAGCACAGACAGAGAACATCAGGACCCTGCACACGAGATGCTGGGGACACCTTGCCTGCAGATTCCCACAACTGGTCCATGAGCACCCCCAATGCTCAGTGCCTCACCCAAACACCGTTCCACTTGGTGGCCGGCTACCAGTGCACACAGGAAGGCAACAAGAGTCAGCCTCTACAGATGGCTAGTTTGTGGGCTCAGAAAGGGCCCCACTGTGCGGGACTGGGTGAAGCCACACCATCTGAGCAGTCAGCACCACCCGGGGGAAAGCAAGCAATAGGGAAGCTGTCAGCACACAGTCTGGTTTTGCAGGATGGAAAAAGGCCATCATGTTTGCAGTGAATTGTTCAGCAAAGGGAGGAAACCGATGCTGCAGTGAAGGTTTAAAGTCTGAATGAGCCTCAGTATGTACTGACCCTGCATCTCTGACCAGAGGATTTCTTCTTTCATAAAGCAATTCCCATGTATATGTGATAAAAACAGTTAGGTCCATAGTAATTGTGCCCTCTCTCCCTCACTTCTAATTTGGTTAAGGAAGAATAAACCCATAAAACAAAAGCCATGCATCATACATCCCTCTCCCTGTCTTCCAGGAAATGGACCAATCAACAGGCACCTTGCTTTTACTGGACTGGAGCTCGTGGTTATAGTGAGGAAATAATGGAAGTCATTGAGGTGTTGGGCTACAATACTGGCCTTTCGTGTTCACATGTTATGCATCTGGTTTAATGTGATGCATTTCCTTATAAGAAAAAAACAATTAATTAAGGACAACCGTAACTCTCCCAAGAGCAATTATCTCACCATACCAGTCACCAATTCGCTAGGGAGAATATAAGAGATCTTGAAAATAACCTACCCAGGGCCACAGGTGGGATAATTGGGAAATTAATGATTCATGCAACATTTTTCATTCCATTTATTTATCCATAACATTAAAAGAATTGACTTTTTTTAAAAAAATGAAAAAGGTTGTGGTTAGTAAAGTTTATTCAGTCGAAACATGAAGATGAGGCAAGGATATTTGTCACAAGCTATCTGTAAATTATCCATTCATCTAATGCCTTTGTGCACTCCACTAATAATAGTAAGGTAGCTAATAAATACTTATAAAAATTTTCCTATATAGCCCAGAAAGATTTGAATCATAATGGGAGCAAAAAATTACAAGTCAAGGAATAGATTTAATTGTCTTAAAATAACAAAGTTTTATTGAGAAAGACATGTATAGATAGAAAGAAACTATATCTTCTTACATAATGAAATCATCAAATACACACATTAGGAGTTCTGATCCTCACAAATCAACATATAAATTTAATTCTATCACAAAGCTTAAATTAAAAATATGAGTAAATACCAGAACTCACCAATCTTTAACAAACATCTACTGATTATCAACTATGTGGGAAAGTTAGTGCTGAGTACTGAAGCTATAGCAGTGAATAATATACAACTCAATCTTTTAAATTCTATGAGAATAACATAAATGTGAACAAATATGTACAGAATTTTGTAAAAGAGAATTGCTTTGTGTGTTTAAACAGAAGCTCACTTTCTTAAATCATGTCTATCCTGATTTCCTCAAACCCACAAATAGTACATACCATCACCAGGCTCTGAAAAAAAGTCACATTTTTTTAATAATAAAGTGGTCAGAACACATTGAAAAAACTCCCATTTTGCCACAAATGTAGAAGAAAATTAATATAAATCTGTAATTTACTAAAATTTCTCACAGAACTATTAAATAGCAGGTGCTGCAAGAGAAGGCTTGATGAAATGGAAATGCTCAATTCAAGATATACAATTCAGTAAAAAATCATGATTCTAATTACACCAAAAATTGATGGAAATGTAACCTGTTAGGCAATATTATCTGCTTACATAATTATCAAGTTCACATTTTTTCTATTACACATATTTTCTATAATTGGCATGTAATAATTTTAATCAGAAGAAAATAATAAATGCTGTTTTCAAAACACAATAATTAAAACCAATCATAATAAACATTGTTATATTAATGCTAAGGGGTATCTTATAGGACAGGATTTTGAATGGCAAATATACAGTCATCTTTAAAGCCTAAGTTTCAAACTTAAACATTACTAATTCACTTCAAGAATCCATTAAGCAACAAACATCCAACCATATGTTATAACCCTTTCTGGGTCATCTTGAAACTGACCTCTTATTAAGTGTTTTTATACCAACACACTATTTTCCACTTGCAAATAAGCAATAAGACAAATGCAGGTCTGTCCCAGGCAGAGGGGGCTGCCCCCTCGCAGGTTTGTGTACAGGATGCAGGTGCCTGGGAAGCAATGTGTACTCGCTGCACAGAAGTAGACAGCTGAGTCTCCAGGTTGGGTGGCTGTGATGTGCAGGGAGAGATGTTTGGCCGCCTTATTCAAGAAAACAGTGAGTCTTTCAGCTTGGTTTTTGTCCTTATTTGAACGAATGTCTATAATGAACTGGGGACCTTTTCCAGGTTCTTGCTTATACCAAGGAAAGTAGATAGAGCCACTGTTGGAATAAGAACAGTTGATAACAGCAGTGTTTCCCTCCTGGATATTCAAGGTAGAAGGATGCTGATCCACTTTCTCTCCGTGGCTGACCCCTATGCAGAAAGAAAAAGTCAGAGAAAGGAGAACAGTGACCAGATCATTAAACTTTATCATTTTCTTTTTTTTTTAATCACAATTCTTTATTTTCTCATGTAAGAAACTTTATCATTTTCTTTTTATCCAGTAACTAAGGAACCCTGAAACAAGCCAGTGTTGCTTCTAAAGAATATCCACTAATATATTGTTTCCCAGAAACCCTCAACTCACGGTCCAGCTGCAGCCACAAGAACATGAACAAAGCTCCAATGGACGTCTTCATCATTCTTCCTACTCAGGAGCAATTGTGGACCTGCAATCACAGCCAGGGGAGCTACTGCTATTATCAAGTTACCCCTCTTTTCCTCTGACCATCATAGGGGTTTCTCACATTCTACCCAGCCAATAAGAAAAAGACTGTGCTTCTGCCAAAGCCTGTTCATTCAGAATCCACTAAAATGCGCCCTCCACATGTTCTGCATCAGCACAGGTGCACTGCCATCTTGTGGTTACATTCACAACTACTGAGCTTGCTGTTAAATATTCTCTTACCCTGTGCCTCGAGGGACTCAAAACAGCAATTGGTCAAATAAATTAAGTCAGAACAGAGAATACAGAAGAATATAGAGATCAAGGTTTGTAACTCTGCACACTACTGAGTCATTGTTAATATTTTGGAAAGAGTCAGATGCTGTTGGTATTTATTCTACAATGGCCTGGGTTTATATCTTTGAAATCTGGAAACTCAATGGTTCACTCTCTTAAGCAAAAAAATATATATAAAATCTTCCTCTTCAAGCTGTCATACACAAACACAATGGAAAACAACTCAGCCTTAAAAATTAATTAAATCTTACTTTTATGACAGTATGGATCGACCTAGAGCAGGGGTCCTCAAACTACGGCCCACGGGCCACATGCAAATACAAATATTGTATTTGTTCCCGTTTTGTTTTTGTTTTTTTACTTCAAAATAATATATGTGCAGTGTGCATAGGAATTTGTTCATAGTTTTTTTAAAACTATAGTCCAGCCCTCCAACAGTCTGAGGGACAGTGAACTGGCCCCCTGTTTAAAAAGTTTGAGGACCCCTGACCTAGAGTGTATAATGCCAAGGGAAATAAGTCAGACAGAGAAAGACAAATACTATATGATTTCACTTACATGTAGAATCTAATGAACAAGAGAAACAAACAAAATAGAAACAGACCCATAGATTCAGACACACAGTTGTAGGCTAGGTGAAAAAGGTGAAGGGGTTAAGCAGTATAAAAATGGTAGTTATAGATTAGTCACAACAATGTAGATTACAGCATATAGAATATAGTCAATAATATCGTGATAACTATGCGTGGGACCAGGTGGGCCCTTGAAGCAGCATGAAAGACACTCTATAAAGTATATAATTTCCTAAGCCCTGTGCTATACTTCTAAATCTAATACAAAATAATATTGAATACAATCTGAAATTCAAAAAATTTTTAAATTTAAAATCCCTTCCTCTTTAGCTAAACCTTCCAGCCTCATTTCTCTTCTATGAAGAAAAGCTCTTTCTAAAAGGAACATGTAAGGAAACGATTAGAGTTTGAGGGAGAAGATCATTGGATATTTCAAGTACCTTCTATCTCAAAGCCTGCTCCTCTAAGCTGATTTTGCCTGTGACCTTGCTATTCCCAGAGAACTGATAGTACCAAAGTGAATATAGGAATCTTTCCTCAATTAAGACGATTGTGATTAAAAGTAAAGGATTGAATCTCCTTGATAAGGGAGCAGGGGATATCTTCCATGCGTTATTAATATTTCAACCATAGGAAACAATTTGACCCACAGGTTGGCTTAAATTGCAGTGAGAAATCTGACACACATTAGGAAACCTATTCGAGGCCCTGGCTGAGTAGCTCAGTTGGTTAGAGCTTTAACTCAGTAACCAACATTGTGAGTCTGATCCCTGGGCAGGTCACATGCAAAAACCAACCAATGAATGCATAAGTAAGTGGGACAACAAATCAATGTTTCTCTCTCTCTCTCAAATCAATAAATAAATTTTATAAGAAATCTATTTTAATGCTGTGTGTCTTATATTCCTCAAAGTATTAAAAAAATAAAGTACAGCTTCTGAGAAAATAAAACTACATGTAAGTTTATTCTTGGCATGATTTAATTTTCTTATCAAGATGGATAACCTGTCCTAAAATACAATTACTAACTCATATCCTTAGTAGAATTTTATCTAAAGTATAATCCAGTTCTCCTGGCATGGATCCTGCCTCTCTGGCCATCGCTGTCTCAGATTCCACACTCTCTCATTTTTCTCACAAACTCCACTACACTGTTCTTTCCCTAAGACGTTGATAAAGTCCTTCAGTCCTGTGAGTTTCCAGAATTATCTTTCTCTGCCAAAAACCCTTTCTTACCCACTTTTACTTCTTGATTGCCCGTGTCTGGTAAGGAAACAGTACAAACAGGAACTGACCCTAAATGGTCCCTGAGAAACCAAGACTACCTCACATCCAGAAGTGGGAGCTCCTTTCTGATTATTTGAACTCACTGTTCTTCTGAGATTACAAAGAATAAATCTGATCTCTCTTCCACCTCTCAGACCCTTAAAGATTTAAAGACAGCTATGGTAAAAAAAAAAAAATCAACTGAATATATAAATATAAATGTATCTGTAAAATGTGTGTTTTTAAGTATGTAACACTTCTGGATTTTGAGGGTCTTTTATTCTCCATAAGATAAAATTTCTCAAATCTTTCTCTGGGCACATTTCCTTCTTTTTGGAGACGTAAAGTCAATATTTGTCCTTTTCATAGTTATGGCATACAGATCTGATGGTGATGGTGTAAATATGACCATTCATATGAAAACAAGTGTTTCATGTGTGAATTGTAGCACAGATATATCTGAGGCCTGGGACAAAATTATCAGCTCCATGGTTAATCCATAGAATACTGTTTTACCCATCACCAAAATGTTGGCCTGAAAAACCTTTACCTGGCACCTTCATGAACTGCCGCCTACCTGAATTTTCAAATTCCAACTATCGTTTTTGTTGACAATATGTGAGTTGTGTTCATTATACTCATATTCTGTCTTCAAAGAATGTTCACTTGGGATAACAAATATATTAACTACTTCCAGGAAAGTTCTTAGAAATACATCTGTGTGTGTTGAGGATGGCACCATCACCTTTGGCTTCCTCTTACAGAAGCCAGTGAGTGAAGGTCTGTTACTGATACAGTAACAGTGGTTCAACTTTAGTCTCCTTTCCTGTCCAATGTGTCAAATGTTTACAATAATTGGAATTCTCTATTCCAATGGCCAAATGATTGATCATGGCCTTTCCAGAACCAGACAGCAGTAGCTGGGCTTACATTAGACAGTTCCTTTTTGCTCAGAAATATAATACTTTAAGAAGGAAGCAAGGAAAATATTGCTGAAGAGAAAATGAGAAAGTCCAATTTCCTTCTATTCCCAGTTCATGTAATATCTAATTGTTTTCTATTGGCATCTTAGATTTAGTTTTTGTTATAAAATCAGGTTGGACTAGCAGATATTTAAGGGCTCTTAAAACTCTGAGATTCCTTTCATGCTATTTAACAGAGAAATATTTATTGAAGACTGGTTGCATGTAATGCAGAGGGTGTGTGAGTGTTGAGAAATTGTACTGCATCATGGAACCCTAAGACGATTTTCACATTCACATTTAACCGAGTGAGTCTGGGGTTTCCCCTAACCAACACTGGGGCCTGTTCAGTGACAGACAAGATCCTCAGGGTAAGTTTCTATTTGTGTTTTCATTTCTCCTATAAGATCAGTGATGGATCTAGATATCCATAGTAAGATGGGACTTTAACACCAAGTGTAAAAATCTTCACACACAGTGAGAAAAATGTGGTTTCATGGCTAATCAGGGGTAAACAGGATGTTCTTCTGGAAACTTATTTCTTCTGTGTATATCTATAACATATCACATAGAACCTGTAGGGAAAAAAATTTTTTTTAAACATCCACAACTAGGACAACCTAGAGGAGGAGAATGAGCTTATTAATATGCAAAGCAATAAACACTTTCTAAAACAACCCAATTGCATTATGCCATCTGCCATTTTTCTTTGCAAAGTTAATTTGTCTGTTCAAAATTCCCAGCCAGGCCTTATCATATGTATCATGGTGAACATGTTCTCTCATTAAATGTGTTGTCTTTTCATTTTGCTGATGGTTTTCTTTGCTGTGGAAAAACTTTTTAGCTTGATGTAGTCTCCTTTATTTATTTTTCTTTTGTTTCCCTTGCCCAAGGAACTATATCAGTTAGAAAATATGGCTGCAAGAAATGTCTGTGATTTTACTGCTTGTGTTTTCTTCTAGAATTTTTATGGTCTCACATCTGTCAAAATGGCTATCATCAATAAACCTACAGCTGACAAGTGTTGGCAATGATGTAGAGAAAAGGGAACCATCATGCACTGTTTCTGGGAATGCAGATTGGTGCAGCCACTTTGGAAAACAGTATGGAGCTTCCTCAAAAATTTAAAAATGGGACTACATTATGACCCAGTGATTCCACTTCTTGGAATATAACCAAAGAAACCCAAAACACTGACTTGAAAGAATATATGCACCCTATGTTCATTACAGTGTTATTTACAATAGCTAATATTTGGAAGTAGCCTAAGTGCCCATCAGTAAATGAGTGGATACAAAAGCTGTGGTATATATATATATATATTACTCAGCCATAAAGAAGGAAATCTTACCATTGCAACAGTCTAGATGGACCTAGAGAGTATTATGCTAAGTGAAATAAGATAGTCAAAGAAAGACAAATACCATATGATTTCACTTATATGTGGAATCTAGTGAACAAAATAAACAAACAAAATAGAAGCAGACTCATAGATACAGAAAACAGACAGACAGCTATCAGAGGGGAGGAGGACTGGATGAAACAGGTGAAAGGATTAAGAAAAAAAAAATCTCAGGACACAGACAACAGTACAGTAATTACCAGAGGGATGAGGGTTGGGAGCAGGTGGAATACAGTAAATGGGGAGATAAACGGTGATGGAAGGAGACTAGGCTTTGGATGATAAGTCATAATGCAATGTGCAGATGATGCATTGTAGAACTGTACACTTAAAACCTATATACTTTTTTTGACCAATGTAACCCCAATAAATTCAATTAAAAATAAAATAAAGAATGGAAAAGGTGCCATTAGGTAATGTTTTTAGTGGGTCCAGTTTTCTGAAATGCTTTAACTCTTCATGCAAATCAGTTTCATGTAAGTATGAGTTTAATGTGTTTTGGGGTGTTTGTTGTTGCTCTATTCATTTATTAGCGAAT